ATGTGTGTATGTATGCAAAATTAAATATTGAAATGAGATATACCAACGAAAAATATATGATATTGTAATTTATACTTTTCCACGCGTTGGTAGGTAGTACGTTTAGTATTATTTTACTCGGGTAGGGGAAAAAAAACAAAAGAACAAAAAAAATAGACAAGATAACAAAACTTTTTCTTTACGTGTATACGTAGAAACATATATATATATGTAAACACGTGCATCACACGTTAAATATTAACTGAACTTTGGGAATGGCAATTTTATTTCGTTGTCTTCCATGAAAATAAGCTTATCGAGTTATTTAATTGTAAATGAGGAATGTGCAACATCAAACAACTTCATATTCATATTTCAAAATTGAAGTTCGGTAATTTATATTACATTACCGCTATAACTTTGCCTATCCGCTGTCAAATTTTCAAAATGAAAATGAATGTGGCATATTTGCACGCCATGAACCAAATGTAGGTACGCGTCAACGTTCGTTCCGATAAATATACATATACATATATATATATATATATATAATATATTATACAAAACGTCATTTTGAAGTAACTTTCAAAGGACATTTACATTATGCAACTTTAAACGTATTACTTATGCCCGATCACACACACACATTCGTCGATGCGAATAATATCCTTATTTTAGAAAATTGTCATTATATAAGGGAGAATAAGAGAGAGCTTATCATTTTATATAAAAAAAAAAAAAATAATATTCCTATATTATTATGTTAATCACATTTTATAAAAATAATCACATCTCTTTAAAAGATATTTTTAAATGTCAATTAATTGTTGTTCAATTGACATTTTATTATCATTTATAAACATATTTAAACGGACCAAACAATGAAGCTCAGTTTATTGATTTTTGTTAAACACACTCATTCATTATACGAGAATATATTAACTCGTTTACTTATCATCTTTTATAAAATAAATATATTATAACATAAATATAATTAAGAGATATTTATATATATATATATATAAATATTTACATAACAACAACCGCTACTATACCCCAAAACGTTTTCTAAATTCATTATAAACCCCTCGGTATAACCTCTAACCATTTTTTCCATATTATATACATATCCTAATCCGGTTTTTCTTCATTTCAGGAGCCGAAGGAGCTTTTAAAAAATTAAAACCAGACCCTTGCGCCTCTAGCCCTCACATTGGCCACACACCCACCACCGCGAGTTGTCCTACACCGGCACGACGTCGGCACAGGACTACCTTTACCCAGGTACGTCAAATTCAAAATTAATTGTCTTGCATTTCTTAACGTCGCGATTTAAATCATTTTCGCAAAATTTAACCACCCTATTCCCCTCCTTTCCCCCACCCCTCCTACCTCCCTTCCTACTCCCACCTAACGAAACACACAAAAGGAAAAAAATGGGGCCAGTGTTAGAAATTCAAAAGCCTTTTTTTTTTTTCCCCCGATCGATCTGTACAAATTTCCTCTGATCGAACCAACACGTATCAATCTTTACTATAGCCTACGATTGTTTCGCAGGAACAGCTGGCAGAATTGGAATCGGCGTTCGCAAAATCTCATTATCCTGACATATACTGCAGAGAGGAATTGGCGAGGACCACCAAATTGAACGAGGCTAGAATTCAGGTAAGTCTATATCGCGTGTTGTTCTTCCTTAATTAACGATTAAATGTAATCAGATAAAAAAAAAAAAAACAAAAAAAGATATAGAATGTAAAAGAAATAAAATTAAATCGAAATAAAATATTGAATATATTGTTTCCGATAAGTTTAACAAATTGAAAAGAGAAAAATCGTGTCGATGAAGAAAAGTGTAACGGAAAGGAAAAAAAAGTGTTGATTGAAAAGAAAAGAAAAGAAAAGAAAAAAAAAAAGAAACTATTATAACAATGCCGAGAGAAGTTTATAAAACGAAAGATAGAATTCACGTAGCTATCGTTTCGGGGATGACTCACTTGGTAATCGAATCAAAGACGCATGCGGGGGTTACAAAATGAAGTTACGAGCGCAAATGTCGATCCAAGACACCCCACGTTCTTCCAAGGGGTTGATCGATCCGCAGGATCAGAATTATTTTGCATAGGGAACCCCTCGACGGTGGTGTCTTTCGGTCGACGCGATCACGATGGTAACGTTTTTCCTTTGTTCGTAAAATTATACTATTTGAAACGTATTTGTAATTTCAAAAAAAGAAACTCAAACGGAATATAATCACGCGCAAGTTAATTACAACGTTTGGGAGCCAAAAAAAATTCAACAAAAATATATATTTACAAATATACGTTAATTACTAAATCATAAAATCCAATATTTAACGATTTGTTGATTCGATATAGCTGTGTTAGCTGTTTTACAAAATTTTATATAAGATCATAATAAACAGACAGAAATAATTTTCTATATAATTCAGACATATGAAATAATTGTAAATAGAGGAAGAGGTAGCAGCAGTTGGTAAACGAATACCTGAACCGTCGCGGTCACCGTCGGTGGTTTAAGTTTTTGCCGACATTAGAAATATCCTGAATAAGAGTTGAAATGAGAAAATTAGAAAGAAAGAGAGAGAGAGAGAGACTGAGTCTCTCATGGGGTAGAAAATCATTCGAATGTCGTAGGAATCAACTGGCAGCATGCAAGTAACAGTACCAACCTACCTACCTACCTACCTACCTACCAACCTACCTACCTACCTACCTAACAGCAGGGCAGGGTAGGGCAGAGCCAGAGCAAAGCAAAGCAAAGCAAAGCAAAGCATTGCAGAGAGTTCCAAGCGGTACATATTAAAACAGTCCGCCGGTGCGTTTCGCTCTTTTGATATATAATGCAAGGGAGTGTTGTTTCAGTTAAAAGCCCGGGAACCGCTGCGACTTAACTCTGTTAAACTGCGATGCCAAGTAAAACGCGGTTTGCTTTTAGTCGCCCGGTTATAATCCATGCACAAAGTGTCCGAACTCAAGCGGCTTCACCGTGTCCGTATAAGACTTTCGAACCTGTTGGTTTTAACCTCAAACGCAAGCTATCCTACCATTTTACTTTCTTTTTCCTTGTTTTCTTTTGTTTCTTCTTTTCCTTTTACGTTACATAAGAACATTTACATTCATTTATTAATTCATTTATTAAATTCTTTAATTATCTCGTTAAGATTAAATTATTATTGATTGATTGATTGATTGATTGATTTCTATATATTCGATTACTTAAACGTATTCAATTTTAACAAAGATCAAAGAGAGAAAGGGGAAGTTAAAGTTGGTTATGTTATATCGACAGTAACAGTAGAGAAGAAGAGAAAGAGAAAGAGAGAGAGAGAGAGAGAGATAAGACTAAATCTCGGTAGATCATTTGCAGTAAGTTACAACCGAGTTTGTGATCAGTCACGAGTAGTATTACTCTACTATGTAGTTCACAAGGAAAGTGTTTCGCAATAGATAGTAGTATAGCTAGTAATAAGGGCCGATGAAACCACGTGGGCTGATTACCGTCGGTCCAAGTAGTAAAAGTCGGTGATAAGTCGAACGTTGATATTAGTAGAACACGTTTTAACATAGCAAGATCAAACTTTCTTAACTTAACTTTCTACAATCTTTGTTTCAAATTACAATTACACCGAAGATTTCTAAATAATCCAATACTTTTTTATACATACGAAAAGAGTATTATAGAAAATTAAAAAAAAAACAGATGTAAATAAACTTTAACTCGTTCGTTAATTTATCTTTATTATTTAACAAAACATATTATTGGATAAACGATAGATGGAAATAAAAAGAATAAGAAAATTTGAGCGTTACGTTAGAGAAAGAGGAGAGAATGCTTAAAAAATTAATCTAATACTTTTATTTATATACGAAAAGAGTATTATAGAAAATTAAAAAAACAAAAAACAGATGTAAATAAACTTTAACTCGTGTTCGTTAATTTATCTTTATTATTTAACAAAACATATTATTGGATAAACGATAGATGGAAATAAAAAGAGTAAGAAAATTTGAGCGTTACGTTAGAGAAAGATAGGAGAATGCTTAAAAATGTTGTCGCGATAGTTACGGCATCCTGTTTCTACAAAGATGGCGATACGCGGGCTTGTAGTTGGCAGGAGGATGAGAGAAAGAGAGAGAAAGAGAGAAAGTGAGAGAGAATGAGAGAGAGATAGAAAGATAGAGATAGAGAGAACGAGGGTGACAAAGTTGAGATGAGTTGGAGGTGGGGTTTGGGTGACGCTGTACCGGAGGCTGCCATTATATCTGAGCCGCCATTTTAAATTGAATTTTCTCCACCCTAGATAGATCTGAAACGTCTCGGCCTTGCGGGGTTCTTCCTTCCACTGCGCGACTACGACGAGACGAAGAACCCGAGAGAACGAAAGATAGATAGATGTGAAGAGAGAGAGAGAGAGAGAGTAAGAGAGACAAAAAAAATGAAAGAAAAACGATAGGATGAGGAGGAGGAGGAGGAGGAGGGGTTCGGGGCCCCTTTTTCTTCGCGACGCTACCTTCGCTTCTCATTTTTATTTTTTTTCCCTCCCTTCTTTTTCTTTTTCTTTTTCTTTTTTTCCTTCTCTCTCACTCTCCTCTCTTTTCCTCTTTATTTTTATTTTTATTTTTATTTTTTATCCTTAGCCCATTTTTTTTTTTCCCCGTCGGATAATAATCCCTCCCGTACTCTTTCCTATCGAGAATTTTTTTCGAGAAATTTTACGCGATAAAACTTGTACCTTATAGATCGTACGTTGAAATAAAGTAGAAGAGAGAAAATAGAAAAAAATAGTCACGCGTAAAATTGTAATTGAAAGATACAACAAGATATATACAATAAATAATATGAAATTTGTAACGACGATAAATTCATTATAATCGAATGAATTATCATCTCGTTCAATAACGAACATCTTTTAATCGACGATTCAAACGACAAAGGAAGGAAGGAAGGAAGGAGAAGGACATGAAGGAGAACGGTTGTTACCAGAATCCATAAGGATAAACAAAAAAGAAACTGTAAAAAGAAAAAAATGGAAAAAGAAATAAAAAAAAGAAGAATAAAAGTTAATAAATTGGAAGTAGGTACCTGGGCAAAGTATCCGAAGAGAAAAAGAGAGAAGCGGGTAGTGTTTCTTCGTTAAAGAGCCAGTAAGAGGATATATGAAATGTGCCAGAAGGATAATGTAAAAAGGGATAGTAGTGGCACGAAGAGTAAGAGAATAATTCTCGAATCAAGGCACGAGAAATCCTATTATAACGCGGAGAAGAAGAAGAAAAAAAAAAGAATAAGAAAAAAAAGAATAAGAAAAAAAAGAAAAAGGAAAAGCCGAGATATTGAGTTAGCCGAGTTTTCATTTCACCTTTTTACTTCGATTCGACTTCCGATCGAAGCCTACCTACCCCACAGTACCGTACCGTACCGTACCGTACCGTACCGTACGTCTCCGAGAAAATCTTCAAGCTTCCTCATCTAACCAGGAAATAAGGAAAATCAGTTTTGGAAAAAAAGAAAATAATAATAATAAGGAGTGAGAGAGGAGAAAACAAAAAAGGAGGGAGGAAAAGGTACAAATCGTTGACTCACATCCCTAATTCGCTTTTTCGCATTATTTTCGTTCTGGGGATAACGGATGGATTGGATGGAATAGGGGATGGGTGATGGGACTCGAGATACAGTCTATCGAATAATTCAATATTAGATAAATTCTATTCTTTATTTTTATTATTTTCTCTCTCTCTCTCTCACTATAGATATCTGCTTTTTGTAAGAATAACAACTCAATAATTATATTCAATTTACGTCTTTTATTGTATATCATCATCCTAGTAAAAGTTCTTAAAAATGGCTAAAAGTTTATGGACAATTTGAAAAATTAATTTAAGCTTTTTTCTGGGGTGGGGGGGCAGGGAGGGAGGGGGTTTTCCGCTCTCTTTTTTTTTCGAAACTTTATACAAGTTTGCAATTAGTCTTTTAGTATCGCAAAACAAGTCTTGTTGTTTTATCATTTGAAAGCAGAAAAAGAAAGTAACCATTAAAAGTCTCTCGAAAATATATAATAAATAGGATAATTGATTTAAAAAAGAAAAAACCCAAATCTCGGGGAGAAAATAATTTCGATTCGCGACTAGACTAAAAAAAAAGGGACTTTTCATTTACATTACATACATTTGTTTATTTTATGTCTCGCCTGCTTGTTCTCGTGAATTCGTTGTTGAAATCGAAAAAAAAAAAAGAAAAATTCGGCGAGTTTCTTTTCGAGAAAAGAAACGAAAAGAAAAGAAAAAGAAAAAAAAAAAAAAAGAGGATTATCCTCGAACCTCTTTTCCAAGACACTTAAAAAAGTTCTTTCAGTAGAAAAGTCGCTATCAGAGTTCATGGTATTCTCTTAAGAGTGTGAGTGTGAGAAAGAGAGAGAGGATAGTTTTCTTCTTTTAGTTTCAGGTCCTCAAAGTAACAGAAATTTTGAGCTTCCATCTATCTATTTATCTATCTATCTATCTATCTATCTATCCTTATCTTTCTTTTTCTTTCTTTTACTCTTCCTTTTCATTTCATCGACCTATCCGTCCCTTCTTAGCTCCTTATTTCTGACTCTCCTTTTCCTCCCTCCCACCCCCATCCACTCTCTTCTTCTACTTCTTCTTCTTCTTCTTCTTCATCCTAGGTCCCTTTCTCCCCCCTCATCTTCCTCCTGCTCATCTTCCACCCTGGTTCTTCTTCTTTACCACCCTCCTATCTTTCTCTAGGGCAGAAACGCTGGAGGGAGAGAAAGGGAGAGAACCGGAGAGCACGGTTATTGAATTACGAACTCTTAGCTTTCCAGTTCTTGCAGGGTGCGCGCCTTAAGGGACGCGCGCAAGTATGTTCTCTCAAAAAGCTCTTCGGTAGAAGAGCAGCAAATAAAAGGAGTCGACCTTTTACCGGCTCTCTCCGTAAAACCTATCTACCTACGTCTATCTACGTAAATGCACACGATATATATATATATATATAAAAATACACTTACATATATACTGTACATATATATATATACAAACACAAGTATAGAGAAGAAAATACGCATAGGAATAATGAAACCTGGCTTCAAAGAGACAACTTATTTCTAACGAAGGGAAAAAAAAAAAGCATAGAAAAATTGTAGAATAGAAATTTAGAATTCATTTGAAACTATTTGAAATACGTTGTGTAATATGAAAAATTTGATAAAAAAAAATGAAAAAGATTAGATGGATTAATGTGTTTCGTATGACTGACGATATACGTAAATTGTCCATAGATAGTTTAATCGAACGATTAATAATTATCGATAGTGTTCAACAAATTCGAATACCTCGGAGCTTTAATCGAGTAGTAGTAATAGTAGTAGTAGTAGTTCGAAATTCCGCGGGAGAGTTTATATAATGCTCAATTTCGATTCAGACCAACAAGTTTTATTCGTCGTACATGATAAAGTTAACTTGTAATACCTTCCACGACATTCTCAAATAAATACGTAATTGTACTATAACTAAAGAGTAAATTTATAACGTAGATAGTATATGCACGTTCTTTTTTAAACAAAAAAAACTAAACTAAAAACATAGTGAATAATACTCTAGAGTAAAAATGTTTCATAAAATAATAGGATAGAAAATACTTAAAATCTATCTTTCAAAAAGACATCTTATTATTATTATTATTATCTATATATCTTTACTATTTAGTTTTCTTTAGTGTCCTTTGAATATATACGGATAAAAAGACGAAATAAGACAAGAAAAGAAAAAGGAAAAGAAAAAGATATAGATATTTCTCTTTAAAAGAAATACGAATATATATATATATATACTTAGCAATGATAAAAAGCGTCTGGCGATAATTCGCGAGTCGTTTCTATCATCATAGCAAGTCGCCATGCTTTCACACGAAGCGCGCAACTCCGTTCGAACGGGCTCGCGCGAGCTTACGAGAAATGTCGATAAAACGTGGTGGCCAATGGCGGGCTCGTAGTGACATCACGGCCGTAAGATCGGCCAATCGCGTGGCACCGCTGACGTCAACACGAGGGTGGAAACAACCGAACAGCGGAACGAAGCCGCAGGCTTTTCTCTTTCTGGGGGGGAGCATGAGGGATTGGGAGGGGGTACATGATGAAAGAAGAGTAGGAGGATAGAGAGAAAGAGAAAGAGAAAGAGAAAGAGAAAGAGAGGAATAGGGGGAGGTGGGGGGAGAGTAAAACGACGATGGTGTATATCTCGTTGGAAAGAGGGTTTCACGGTAGGCAATGGCGAAGGGTGTAGAAAAGAGGTGGTGTTGATGCTGCTAGAGGTGGTGGTGGTGGTGGTGGTGGTGGTGGTGGTGGTGGTCGTGGCAGAGACGTTTGAGGGAAGGGGAGAATAGTAGTAGGAGAGATTCGCCAGTGGCGGCTCGGGCAACCCCCAATATGGGTTTACTAATCCCACGAAACAATGGAAATTGCCCGATGCAAAATGGCGATAGGTAAACCACTCTCTTCACTTCTCTTCACTTCTCTTCTCTTCTCTTCTGTTCTCTACTCTTCTCTTCACTATCTTTTCCTCCAAAGAGAAATAATATAAAAAGAAAAAAAATGTAATATCTCTTAATTTAAGAAATAATCATTGTAACACAAGGGATCGAATAAATCAGTCACTTTGTTTTTTCTCCCCATTATCTCATTTGTAAATAAACATACGACTAATATTACCCTTTAAGATTTAAATTGAATTATAAAAATGGTGTTATCTCCTATATAACATATATAATATAAATAATACATATGTGTGTATGTGTATATACGAGCCACTAGGTATCGATTCGCTCGATTTTTGCGCAGGTCTGGTTCCAGAACAGAAGAGCGAAATATAGAAAACAAGAGAAACAATTGCAAAAGGCACTAACTCCGATACCAGCATGCCAAGGTGCTATGATGAGGAACATATATCCTGGTGCTAGCAGAGGCTATCAACCTTATCCACATCCACACAACAGTATAAACGGAATTAATCGTTATCCTCAGGTGATTCTTCGAATTATCCTAATGATATCTATTTATCTATCTAATCTATCTATCTATCTATCTATATATAATATATATTAGTATTAGTTCTATACTTAAGAGAATTCTATTCGCTTATTAATTGAATAATTAATACGTAGAATTAATTGTAAGAGAGAAAGAGAAATATAGAAGGGATAATCCGAATGGAGACGCGATCCATCAAATCCGGATGGTGGATCGGATGGCGGATCGCGTCCGAGCAAATGAATTCGATGCGTTTCTCGTTAATGATTTTAACCGAGGTATTAAATTGGAGTGCAGCTGAGCGTACGTCCGGCTGAGCACGGCTACATCGGTCGATGTAGCTAAATTGCATTTTAACTGATTAGTTGGGTAGGACGGATTAACGAATGCCTACCGCTTTAATTGAACCAATAAATTGTCAAACGTGTGCGGGGTATATACGTATACAGGGATAAAAAAGATCCCCCTACCCCCTACCCCCTAGAAAATTCCACATATATATATAACAAATAAAACGTACGACAAATCACAATCGAACGATTGATCGTAGGAATTATTTCTACGATCAATGTTTTCTTTTCTACAATTTTCTTTCTTAAAATTTTCCTTTTTTTTTACTTTTCAGATGGGCACGACGTCTTATCCCAGCATGACCCAACCCTTCTCTATGTCACATTCGGCGTCAAATATGTCGGCGGTTACCGGTATGCGACAAGACGCGATGGGTAAGTTTAAACAATGTTTTATTTATGTATTATTAACTTGGTCAATAAGTAATGTCGACATTTGTCGATAGAATAATCTTTATTACTATAGAAAAATACATAATGTATATATTATTTTCAAATATAAATTATAGTAACACTCGAACGTTACTTATTGATAAGGTGACCATTATTTCTAAACAATAAATACTGTTTATATAAAATTAAATTATTAAATTATGTTATAAAGAAAAAATATTCAGTTGTATATATGTGAAAATCTATTCAAATATGTTTGACTAGAATTGGACCAAACCTATTAATAACTTAATACGTACATATGCGTTTTATTTTCAACAACATTATAATTCTAAATTATAAAGAAAAATATTTATAAAACAGTTTTCAATACTCAATTGCATATTTTCGGCACTCCAAATGTTATTTAATACAGAAAACACCCTTTACATAGGTGCATTATATATACTCTGTGGTAGATATATAATATTATATTATTTATAATAGCCAAATTTTGATTACATTTCAAATATAGTAAAAAAAAAATATCGCGTACGAACGTTCGAATAATCTCTACTATAATTAGCCAAGCCAATATTTGAATTTATTCCAAAAAAAAAAAAAAAAAATATACAGACACAAAAATTCTCTCTTTTTGGAAAATTATATTCCCCGAAAAAAAAAATTGATAGGAAAGGTGAAAAGTTTCTTTTTCGAGCACATATCGATTCGATCTTATCGAATATGATTTCGTAAAAAGACCGGACCGGAAATGATGCGCATCAGACGAGAACGAGAACGAGCATGAGGGAGAAAAAAGTGGGTTGGGGTTGAGAGGGGTAAAGGGGGAATGGTGGTGGTGGTATAGAAAGAGAAGGAATAGAAGAAGGATGATTTCTCTCTTTCTCTTTCTCTCTCTCTCTCCCTCTCTCTATTTCTCTTTTTGTCGATCTCTCGAAGACGTTCCTCTTTCCATTTCCGGTACAGCACCGTCTTACACCATTTCCGGGCCGAGATGGAATATCGCTTTTAAATCGAATCAAGACTATTCGCGAATTGCCTGCCGGATCTTGGAATCGTTCGAAGGTTGCGACGTCTCGCGAGTAGTCAAGTCCTTCACATCGAACTATTATTATATATATATATATATATATATATACATATATATATAGATTTATATATATATATATATATAGTTACCTGGCCAATATCTTTGCACCTTGTACTATATAACGAGTTAACGCCTTAATGCAACGGTAAATCGTTCTATTAGTCGTCTTCTCGATTGAGCTTCTTAGAAAATCGTTAAATCGAATCGTTCCATACCTATCATCCCCCCTTTCTTCGAATACCATTCAACATTCTCTCCCTAACCCCCCCCCGTCTTCACTTTTATTTAACGAATCTCGATAATTCATTTCTTTGTTCTCACTTCTTTTCTTTTACTTTTACTTTTACTTTTACTTTTACTTTTTTTTCGATTCGTATCGTTCAATTTTTTCTATAGATATTTGTGATCGGTAATATTGTTTCCATACGTTTGCAATTTATACGCGGTCAATGTATTTTGTAATATAATTTTGTTATATTTAAAATATTAGTATGTGTGTATTATTGGTGGTATTGAATTGATCGAGTATAAAATTTATTATTAAATCAGTATTATATTATAATAAAATATGAGTATGTACGTGTGCTGTATTAATTATGTAACTTTGTCTCTTTTTTTTTATTATAAATATTAACAAATTATTATTTATATTAAAGAAAATCTATTGATATATACTATAATCATTGATTTTACTAAATATTGACCGAATAATTACAAGTGGTTTATTTTTATTTATTTATTATTTGAACCAATAACAAATTAATAATTGTCGATAATAATAAAAAAAAAACTATAACTTTTATTAAAGACCGATAGTTTGATTTGTTTCAATCTAAATAATATGTCCTATAACTAGTGGTATAAACAAACAGATGGAGAGTTAGAAGGGGACGGATGTGATTTTATACGAAAAGTTAAATGGAACATGTAGAATCAAATTTGTTCTACTATTAATGCTTATCGAACAAGACTTTTAAAGTTCCAAGGTTTCCAGGATATTGCTAGTTCATTGTAAACAAGACAAAATCTAATATGAACAAATTTCATTCAACATTATCGATTTAGTTTATCAATTATAAAATCACGTTACATGTATCATACAATTTAGCTAATAATATTAATATAATTATGATAAAAAAATTCACAAAGAGGAATAATTTTGTTTGAACAACAAAAAATGATTTAGTTATCCCTTTTACAGGCATGTCAGCGGAGGACGAATGGTACAACAAGAGTATTTCAGCCCTAAGAATGAACACAGCCCATCATCCTAATCTCGCCGCACCGATGTTGCAGTATCAAACATAATTGTAAACGTTATACCGTTGTAAATGTTAATAACCGATCGAATAATAATAATTTAACTTAACACGTCATTGGACTAATATTACATCGAGAACGGACGAGAAAAAATGGCGGTCCTTGTTGATCGTGTTACCTAATTTGAAATATATTACAAGAAAGATAAAGTATTTAAAAAAAGAAAGAAATAAAGGAAGGAAGGAAGGACAGGGAAGAAGAAAAAGAAGAAAAAGAAGAAGAAGAAGAAGATAGAGTCGGTTAAATTTCTTTGCAAAAGAAACAAATACAATAATAATATTTAAAACGATACACACGCGTATTACAAATGTATGTATGTACGTGATCGCCAAATCATTTTTATCTCGTTCGAAAAGTAACCAACGCGTTATTAATTCTCGAAATTAATCGTCCATAAAGCCACGGAGATGCTCTAATCGATAAATAAATAATAATTAATTTATATCGAGGACCTGCCCCTTCTCCCGCTCACCCCTACCACCCCTGAACCCCCGAATAAACTCGATACCGTGTATCAAAACTTTACGACGCGTATGTAAGAAACGATGAAGATTTTAAAAAAAATAATGTTTTGAAATAGACGTCGTGACAAAGAAGAGAAAAATACAGTGCAAGAAAAAAAAAGAGAGAGAGAGAGAGAAGAAAAAAATAAATTAAAAAAAGATCATCATGGTGGAATCACATTTAGCGCAAATAATTTTATATACGTACACGAGTTTTCCTATTCGATTATAATGTACAGTATATAAAGCTTCGGTGATTTTTTTTTTGTCCGTTTACGTGTTCGCTCACGATCGCGTAAAGTTTCGTTCTGAAAAAAGAAAAAACGAGAGAGAGAGAGAGAGAAAGAAAGAAAGAGATAACGAAAAAAGAAAAAAAAAGAACATATGAAAAAAAGAATGTGGAATAAATGATCGTGTATGTATATTCGTTCGAATTTTTAGCTTATAGAGACGTATTATGAGCGTACACGAGAAACGTGGGAATGATTTGAAATGAAAATTTAAAAAAAAAAAATAAAAAGAGAGAAAGAGAAAGAGAAGAAAGAAACAGAGAGAGAGAGAGAGAGAGAGAGAGAGACAGAGAAAGAAGATCTTTCGTTAGTTTCTTAACAACGAGATTAAAAAAAGACAGACATACGATTGAAGAGATGATTACTCTGAGTTATTGTAAATACAATGCAGAGATATACATAGATATTATTATAATAGCGTAATCACAACAAACAGCAGAATATTCTAGCGTATGCGATTTTTCAATGTCCTTTTAAAGAAAAAAAAAAATTTTAAAAAAAAAAACAAAAAAAATAAAAAAAATAACAAGTGTAAGCGTACCCTTAGTAAAATATTAGGGATTGATTTGTGTGCTTATGTTGACCGGGATTTTAAAGTATCCGACTATGATTGATTATGACGACGACGACAATGATGATGAAAATGATGATGATGATAATGATGGTGGTGATAATGATGATGATTATGATGATGATGATGATGATGATAATGATGGTTTTTTCAGTCGACATAAGGTCAAAGAGTTGAACGAGTGTATAGAAAAGAAATCACTTCTATTTATTTGGTCAGTAATTTTAAACATCGTTAGTCAGTATTTTGTAAAATAAATGGTCAATATATATAAATATTTTGTTTAACATAAATAATCGTTTGTCAGTATTTCAAAGAAGTGATCCTAATATTTATAATAGAAATAGTATTGTATCAAAGTTAAATATTGATACAGAGTAATATTATAATACATTATGATATTGTATTATAAATACTTACCGATCTATTTAATATAAGCTAATTCATCTATTTAAAATACTGACAATTTTTTGTTATATTTAATCATGTATATATAATATTGACCACTTATATTACATACTGACAATTTTATTAAAAATTACTCTGATCATTTATATTTGAAAATACTGATCCAATAAATAGCGGGAAAAAGAACAATGGCGAATAATAATATCGGCAATGTCGTGAATTTGAAAGGCGTCAGGTATTGATGAAGTGTTTTTAACGAGACAACAATTGAAGTGTCATTCAAATGAATTTTATTATAACAAATAATTATATATTATAAAGTTCATTAAATGAGATTAAAGGATTAACAAAAGAAAAGAAAAAAGAAAAAAAAGGAAAAAAAAAAAATAACAAAAAAAAAAAGATCGAACGATAATGAAGAAAACGATTCCGTTCCAGTAGAGCGAAACTTTTTAGAAAGAAGGAAAAACACTTTGACGATTCGCATATTGTATTATGTACTTTTATCCTAACGCCTTTCGTTCGTCATATTTGAAATCTGTCCGATCAACAATCGTCTATATTGGTGTCATTTTTCAAATAACTGTCTAATCAATATATCGACAAGAGGGGGACGAAGATACAGCAGAAAAACAAAATCACATTGTTTTCTGTGTAACTTCGCTTTCGACCTCACATTGATATATAATCGCGCTCGCGCAGTTCCACGCGAAATGTTCCTAAAAAAAATTTGTAACATATCACACACGACACATACAAACACATATGTATGAATGCATGCGGGTACGTGCATGCTTGCGTGCATACATTTTTACACACGGCGTTCGAATAAACGCGGGTAAACTATTTACATAGGACACGGCACATGAGAAACAACATTTAACACACTTAATCCCACGTATGTCGAGATAACAAAAAAAAAAAGAAAAAAAAAAAAATAAAGGTTTAAATTTAAGTGGAAATACATACACAGCGGGCGTATATAGTTTTAAGCAAGGGTCACGTATTGTACGTATGTGTTGTACATAGCCTAAATAAAAATTACATTTAAAACGAATTTACGTGTATTAGTATTTTATGATTGTGCATGTTTAAATGAGAAATATCTTTTCGAGAAATTAATATATAAATTCAAAGAAACACAATAGTTATTTCTTAATATGTAATTTTAACGAAATTATTAAATTATTAACTCTATAAAACAATATTAAATAATACTATAGCTGTAATAAATATGACCACGAAATTTTAATCGGGTTTTTAATTAACGAAGATAAAAATAAATTATTAAACGTTAAATACGTATCTAATAATGTTTTAAACGTTGTACAATAAACAATGAGTTTTCTTCAACAATATTTCAATTAAATAAATAACGCCTGAACTTTTATATTTTCCCTCTAATGCCATTTTATTTACGTCGCGCATTCTAGCGGTCGGAACGCGCAACGCGAACAAATAAAATTAAAACGCGCGCCAAATACAAATTCCTTTTTGAACATTTCTCCATGATGAGATAGTTGATTAAATAAATATTTCAATTTTCAATTTCTGGAAAAAAATATAAAATTAATCGAAGGATTAGGCATATTGAGATGGATCATCTGTTCAAAAAATGAAAATATCCAATATTAGATGTCAAAGTTTTATTTATAAGTCATTAAATTTAGCACATTTATAGTAAATCTTTTGTCACAATCTCCTCGCCTAAAAAACTATATATGAGTTGAATCGCCAGACTAAAATACACTTAAAACCCGTACTTCACGATTACGTTTCCACATTAAGTTCATCATAACATCACTTGGTCTTTCACAGCATTTTATATGGAATCGGTTATTTTACTTTCGTACAATTTTAACTACCAGGGTGCACAGTTCATTAAGAGCGTTTTCTTCTGTTCTAAAAATCGTTATCGATTATCAATTTGTGTGGTGTCGTTTGAATGTTTTTTTTTCTTCTTCTTTTATTACATTTTATTTTTTTTTTTACTTTTTTTTATTTTTTTCGTTTTATTTCAAATATTTTAATAACGTTTAAAATTTTTTTTTCTCTGCAGATATTACAATGCATACAACGCCAAGGTTTATTATCAGAAGAGATCAATGCCGATTTCGGCGACAAGTAAATTGTTTTTCTCACACTGACACATTATTCATAAAATCTGTAACAGTCACTTCGTATCGACAGAAAAAAAAGATTTGATGCACTCCTTAGTTCTCTCCATTTTTATCATTATTATTATTATTATTATTATTATTACTATTATTATTATTATTATTATTATTATTATTATTATTATTATTATTTATTTTTTTTTTCATTTTCTTTTTTTGTCATATACGTTAAACGTATATAATGAGTGGTTTTATTGTGAGGTTTATAATGCAACATTTTTTGTACATATGTACTATTTTAGCCATGAATTATCACGATAAGAGATTAATAAAATATCGAATAAATATTAAGTCACCAATTTATTAGCATATTAGTCATCTCCTCTTTTTTTTTCTCATCTATGTTCTAGTTCTCTAACATCCTTTCTTTTTCTCTCTCTTTCTCTCTCTCTCTCTCTCTTTCACACACATTATCCCTCCTTTCTTTCTTTCACCTTTAATCTTTTCTTAATTCGTAACTTATTTGAATTTGCATTATCTCACGATCACCATTTTGCTTTTGTTGATCTTAATTCTTAAATACTAACAGAAGTACCATATAACAGCATTTTTGGAATATTACCAGAGAAAAAATTGACTTATCGTTAACGTAATCAATATGAAGAGGGAGGCAGCCTTACAGATATATCAAGATTTTGTCGACTAAATTTACATTATTTCTCTAGCTACTACGAGACTAATTAAGACTCTTATCACTTTTCAACCTATGTGCAGATAGACGAAAATGAATTATTAAAAAGAAATGTGCATCGAAATAAACGCCAATACACATAACTTTAAAAACAACGAAGAGATAAGTTTAAAAATGGTTTTGTTTAAAGCCACTATATAGTGGTGCTTCGTACCATAAAATGACTTACAGGAAAACCACTTTACTGATGTTTAGTAGCTAGAGGATTGGTTAGTTAATTAATAAGCAGCTTAAAATGTTATATATATATTACGCTAATAAATTTTTAGATTGTTCGCATGTGGCTAAATTGCATACAGATGCCTGTATTACGAGCTAATGCATCTCATGCAAGAATCTTCCGATTCATTTAGTATATGTAGATGGTGTCTATCATAAATGTAAAGGTGGATACCTTTTATATACTCCGCTTTGAAATCCCATCTTGGCCGATTTACATAAATTATTATTCATATGTTTTACATTTATTCGAGAATATACTATAATATAATAGTAATTTGGATATTACAACAGCGATTTAATATAAGAGGTATTATAAGAGATTGAGCACTTTAT